CCCCTGCCCCAGCAGCGCCGTGTCTGTCCTGTGCTGAGGACCCCAGAGCTGGGTGCAGCACTGCAGGGGGGGTCTCAGACCTAAGTCTGACTCAAGATCCTTTCTGCCTACACGAACACCTATGCCTCAGCAGCTCTCGTATAGAACTGTGACCATAAGAAACTGCAGACGCCTCATCACAGCAAAGGCAGGTCACTGGTGTTCAGAATAAAGGGGGGTTACCTCGTATTCATCAAAAGGCTCCAGAGCCTGCACTCTTTGCTGCTCATCTTCTGGAGTACAACAGGTGAAAAACTCATTCATATCCATCACACTGCACTCAGTCCAGCCCTGAAACAGAAATCCCTCAAAATTATTACCTCTGGAAGGATAGAGACTCACTTCCCACAAGAAAACAAAGATCCTAAATTATACATCTGCATGAGCCTTTACGACTGTCTAGCACAGCAGCCCAGAATTTGGTGAGGACAGGTCTCTTACCTGCAAAGCTCTTATGAACTTAATTTGTTATATCACAAGTCTCAGAGGAACCCATCTTGCCTTGCTCTCATACCAGAAAGTCGGCTGCAAGTTGGTTGGAAGGATCTCCCAATGACTAGTCATGCTACTAGAGAAGGCAGCGTCTCAGCCTTGGCCCTGTTTGTCTCAACCCATAACTTACACAGCTGAAAACTTCCGAAAGTATTTAATGTTACAGTCTTCCCCACGTAAATCATGCTTCAAGTGTGCCTTAGAGCTGCAGGTACTCACCTTTTCCAGAAAGCGCCTCTGCTGTGCCTCACAATCCGGGTACTGTGCCAAAGACCGAAGCGCAGAGTTCAGCTGGCTGAAGTGCTGCTGCATGACATGCCCAAAGGGGTCCCCCGGGTGCATCTGCTCATACAGCAGAAAGCACGCCTGAGAGAAACGCTCCGCTCCCCATCGAATCAAGGCGTCTGACCTGTGAGGCAGGTTACGCACCAGAAATTCAGTAACTGAAGGGCCATGTACCATACCGCAGATGCAATCTATCTTGCTGCAACACCGCAGAGCATGGTATTAAGGCATCCTGACAGAGGTAATACACCAAAGAGAATCCTGTGCTGGGGACTTACAAACATCTCCTCCTTCACCTGTGCCGAGCATTCCGGGGACAAGAAGAACAAAAAACTTGAAATCACTCATTGGAGGCTTTTCTTCTTTTTCTTTTCTTCCTCCCCATCACAATTATGATGTAAGGAGGTGTTTCAGACTTCCACAGAATTCCTGAGGCTTTAGTTCTGAGACAGCAGGTCTCCCAGCCCCAGGTAATGTACATACAGCTTGTTCTTTTCATTTGACCACCAGCTAACAGGATAACTCAACTGACCTGCTATTGTCCATGTAGGTGAGCACCACCTCTGCTATGAAAAGGGTGGGGACGTCAGTGTCCAGTCCTGCTTCCTTCAGGGCCCTCTCCAGCTCAGACAGCTCCGATAAATCCACTCCCAGTAATCTATAATCCTCTCCAGAACAGGTAATGTCGCCTGGGGGACAAAAATGATAGAATCTCACTGCAGTGCTGGTGCAACACTGAGACCAGTAGGGTCAAACAGGAAAATCAACCTCACAGTCAATCGCTCACAAGGCTGTGCCCCACCAACCCAATTTCTTTGGGACATGCACAAGAAAATCCCCATCACCAAATGAATCATAAAGGGATAATGTCAAGAAGCAATTCATTAAAAGAAGAGCTAAAACTCCATTATTCCTAATGCAAATTTCACCTACAGGTTTCTCACAGAATGATCACATTTACTATAAAAACAAAACTTTAACATTTTTACTTTAACAACATTTTAATAGAACCACTGTAATTCAGAATCAAATTTTAAGGGCTCTCATTTATAGACCCTTTAGTTTAGGCTAAGAAAGTACCATTGCTTTGATAGAATTTGAATGGTTTGCCTCACAACCAGAAAACCATTCCAAAGCTTTTTGGGGTTGTTTTTTGTTTGTTTGTTTTTTAAACAGATTCATTTCTGTAAAATGGCATTGAATCCTGAAGCAGCACATGCTAGCTCTCTCCAGACACCAGGACTAGTCTCACAGACCACCACTCTCTGAAATAAGTTCCAATTTATGATTTGCAAGCTTTATCATGGCATACCTCTGTACTCCACAAGAGTATCACAAGCTACAGTTTGCTGACCTGTTTCAACCAAAATCAAATCACCAACAAAGCAAACTGTAAAGTATCTTCAGAAATCACCTACTCTATGTCCCTGCACCAGTGTAATCCAACAATTATACCTGTCTTGAGAACTGTTGGTCTGCACTGTTCTCAAAGGCATCCACAACTGGAGGCACAATGCCCTTCTTCAGACAGCCATCCCAGTGTTCCTTGTTAATCTCTTCTAACAGCTTGTCTATCCATCACTTCCTGCCCTCTGGACACAGAACAGGGTATTCCCAACCCTTCTGACACCTGCCTTTTAGTTAAGTGCTTGAAGATTATTGAAATGGACAGAATTCTTTGCCACAGGATGCTGCCAGTATTAAAAACGTGAACAGACTCAAGAAGGAACAGAACCAGCTCAGGGAAGAGCTACTCACTAAGACTTGCTCAGCTGCTCACAGGAGCCAGGGACTCGTGCTCCGCACCGAGCTCTGTGGCTGTCTTCCATCTGTATTTAAATTGATTATTACAGTCTAAACGTAGCAGCTTACACATGTCCCCATTGTATTTCATTCCACATTTCCCAGACCGTTCACGTACTTTGTCAAAATCCTACTCTCATCCACCGCATTGCAGCTCTCCCCGTTTCCTCCTGGTTTATTATGTTTTCACCTTCTACAGCATTATCACCTAGAACATTAATGGAAGCCTTGAAGAAAAACAGATGCAGGAGAAACCTCTAGTGAACCCCATACTTTACGTTCCTCCATTTTGCCACTAAACTGCCCTGTAGTACTCAGCTGGCACAATAATCCTTTCAGCTCTGCTTATGTTCTACAGCAGTTTCATAAGGCTCTTTTTTTCCTGCCTTCAAGAGGGGAAAAAAAAAGTCAGGTAACACAACTGTTTTATTACAGTCAAGACACCTAAGAGTCGCACCTTCTCTCTTGTCCACAAAGCCCATAAATCGCAGCATAGTTTAGGTTGAAAGGGGCCTTTGAAGGCGACCTGGTCCAACCCCTTGCTCAGAGCAGTTACCTCTATGAGGTTGCCCAACGCTTTGTCCAGCCCAGCTCTAACTATCTCTAAGGCTGGAGATTCCACCACCTTTCTGAGTAATCTGTTCCTAACTACAAAACAATCATTATACATCATTGGAATTTTCTTTGTTGCAACTTGCAACCCTTGCCCCTTGCCTGTTTGCTTCATGCCTCCAAGAAAAGACTGGTTCCACCTTTTCAATACTCTCCCATTAGGCAGTTGAAGGCTGCAGCAGGACTCACCTCCTTCCCTCCTAACCTCCTCTTCTCAAGGCTGAACAAGCCCAGCTCTCTCAGCCTCCCCCTCCTATGGGTGTGCTCCAACACTTCATTCTCGTGACCTCTCACTGCAGCTCACCACCGTCTTTGTCCCAGTGAGCCCAATCCTAGTCACAGTACTTCAGAAATTGTAACAAACTGAACATGGTTTGATATAATCTGCTCCTGACAATCCATCCGGGCAGCTATACACCTTATCTCCCAATGCTTACGAGCAAGTTATTTGTTCCAAAGTTTTTCAGAAAGTGAACACATTCTTCATCTGCAGCTTCATAGTTCCTCTACCATCACATCTCTACTTTTTAAAGGCTGAAGCTATGTTTGCTTCTTCTAAACTCTTAGTACCTCGAAAACCTTCCATAAACATCATACCTGATCCTTCCCCTCCAGTGTCTCCCACCAGTGCTGACAACTCTTCCATTCTTTTGATCAGAGTAGCTTTTTGGCGTGCCACATTTGGGAAATCCACCTCATATACCACAGTGTGATGCAGAAGACCCATGTCCTTCAACCGGAAGTATAAGGAGTCAAAGCCAGCACCTAAAGACAGGATCTGCAGAGAAAGTACCAGGAAAAGTTATATTCAACTGTAGCAGCACCCTGAGCATCTAGGTGTGAAAAACATTCAATAACATCCCCTGCAGAGTGACTAAATCAGGCAACCTCTTGCAAGAGGTAGACTAGTTTTGTGTAGGTATTGCCCCCTCCCAGATATTCCTGTCAAAGTGACAAACGGACGGCCACAGGAGTGCCAGTCAGGTTCTCTGTGCTCTGCTGGGAGGGGATCACAGCAGATGCACTGACGAGCTACTGCAGGGCCAAGATGCCAAAAGACTTTTCACACGTATAGTGGAAACTGGCAGCATACCCAGACAAAGAAAACGCACCTGAGTCCTAGGGTGGCTTTGGGTCTTCAGACACAGTGATCTACAGCACGGGCACGGATGTAGTAACCCCTGTGGAAGGACACGCAGTTGTAATAACCGTCCAGGAACCCTGTTTCTCCAGCACTGCCATCTTCCACTTCAAAAAACTGATTTTTTTTCTCTCAGCTTCTACCCAATAACCCCACATTTGTAGAGCTGCACTGGGAGATGTCTGATTTTATCATATCTAGAGCTTGCTAATAAATACAGATATCCTGTATGCAGTAAATGTGTTAACCAACAAGACTATGGATAACCCAGAGAAAACAAGTAGATATCCTAGCTGGACCTGTTCCATTTTTCATAAGTATTCACTGTGTGAAAAAGTATGAATCCAGACAGCTAGGATGCTGCCCTGCAATGTGGGTGCCCAATACCCGAGTTCCTGCCCCAAATGGGATGCCACAACAATACGAAATTAACTCCTTTACTTACAAAGGGCTGTTGGGTATAACAAAATGAATGACAGTGCGTGCAAACACAGTGAGAAGGGAACAAGAAAGGGAAGAGAAGCACAGTCAGGAGGGGAATTTCATTCTCTGTTTTTTCAATGAATGGAACTAAGTAAGTCTGACTCCTAGAAAGCGTTTACCACTCACCCAGCCTGGCAGGGACTGAAGCATCGTTCTCCTTGACATTCTCTTTCAGTTAGTTTCACAGTGTCCCCACCAGGCTTACCAGATCCTGTCAGCCCCTTTAACCATCACGTTATCATCCCCAGGCCTCACAGGGGCTGGAGATTTCATTGGATGTTGTAAAATGTCACAAAATTCATGGTGACACTGTCGACACCTGCAGCACATGACTCTATGAATTCAGTGTGGCGTGTCAATGCCATGCGACATGTCAGCACAGGCTCAGCGTCCTGACCTGATGGGCAACACTCGTCCTCACAGGCCTGCAAACTTCTGCTTGAACAGCGCTTTCTTCTTCCCCTGAGTGAAACTCCTTTGGCGGCTCACAGCCATTGTGACTGCATTAACCGATCACCCTCGCATTCGGCAAACTCCACCACCGCACCAGCACGGAGCTCTCCACACACACACAGTACAACATCCACGTTCCGCTAAGCTCCAGAGACGACCAACTGGTCAGACACAACTGATTCCACAGCGGACACTGTTTCCCTGAGCCAGCAAACACCTCACTGGAACTGCAATGCTCTTGAGAATTAAAGGGACATGATAACCTTCTCAGTACACTAGTTTTCAAATCTTATCTGAAGCACTTTTCAGCAGCACTGAGCCCTGGAGCTAGGAACCGCTCCGGTGACATGTTCCTCAGGACAAAGCTTTCCAGTCCTGCCCACGGCCCGAAAAGCTGGCAGTGCCGAGGGACAGCGCCCGGCAAGCTGCCGCCCTGCGCAAAGCCGTGCTTCCAGCGGCGGGGACAGCGCCCGGGGCCGGGGGGATCACCGGGGACAGCCCCCCTCCGCAGC